TGGTAAACTTCTAAATCTGTTTTCATTTTTATAAAATGCTCTTCCTTCACGAACTTCTATGACAGCAGGCACCATACACTCGTCCTCATAGCACGGTATTTCATACGATGCCTTGACATAGCAAGTACTCAAAAAGATATTTGACGGACACCTAAATAAACAGGTGAATGAAGGGTTAACAATAAATCTGGAAGGTTTCCTAAACGAAAATTTAAAACTTATGGTTCAGGGTAAGGTTAACAGAAATGGCAGGGTAAGGACTCCAAAAAGTGCCTCTCTAAAAATCAATGAAAAATCTGATAAAATTTGTCAATATCAACTTTTTTCAGGACTTTAGGAATTAACCAAAGGCTTGCAGCAGTGCAGGAAGTGTTTATCCAAGAAAAATGGCTAAATCTTCGTAAGAAGAACAAACTTAATGACACCTTAACTTGCCCTATTCCCATCCCTCTCTCCATAGCTCCACGGTAGCCTTGAAAACCAATAGCCTACAATCGCCTTGCAAACCAGCAGCTCAGCAGTTACCAGACGGGGACAGAATAAGATTGGAACTCCTTCGAGACCTCATTCCTAGAGAATTCTCATTATTTGAGCTGTCTGGCTTATAAGACTGAGAGTCTCACTTATAAGACTATCTTTATCTGATCTGACTTGGAACTCACACAGTGGAAAAAGTCTTTCCCCCAGGGGTTTTGGTTGGGAACCTTTAAGGATAATTAACTTTGCAGAGGCAATAGATAACAGCTTGGACAAGCAACAGGCAAACCAAAAAGATTAAAATGAAGAGCTAGGGAATGAGCTGTCCTAAGGGCTTTAAAAGGTCTAATGTATTCCTGGGAATATAAAGATGCATGTACTTGTGTAGGACTGCACCAATGCCCAGGGCCTCATTCAGGCTCAGGAAAGACCTGAGAAGGCTCTAAGTTCTGACCTATGGCTGACCTTGAGGTTCCACGCAAGTGGGAAGTGAAAGTTAAGGCAGTGTTACCAACTGCCTAGTTGAGTATTGAAGGCATGCTCCAACATGCAAACAAAATCCCAAACATGCAAACATGGAGGTCTTATTCGTGCTTAGTGTAAAGAAATCTTTGTCCAACTATTAGCTGAACACTAACCTAACCAAGCAGAAACATATGTAGAAACATATGATAGTAATACAAAATACAATATAATCATACAAAATTTCTGGAATTAGTTCATGAAAGTCAATAAACAAATACACAAACAAGGCTATTACAAGAAGCAACAGCAATAAACCCTGAGGAAACAGGAGAATCTGATTTCCAGTGTTGTCACTTGTATTATTTAAAATGTCCAGTTATCAAAACAAAATGTAAGACATGCAATGAGAAATGTGCAATAATACATGGAACAAGAAAACATAGACCATACATGGGGAAAAAAAAAAATCAGTAGAAACTATCCCTGAAAAAACTCAGATGTTAGACTTACTTTAAAAAAAAGGGGGGGGGGATTGGGTGGCTCAGTGGGTTAAGCCATTGCCTTCAGCTCAGCTCAGCGTCCTGGGATTGAGCCCCACATCAGGCTCCCTGCTCAGTAGGGAGCCTGCTTCCCTTTCTCTCTCTCTGCCTGCCTCTCTGCCTACTTGTGATTTCTGTCAAATAAAGAAATAAAATCTTAAAAAAAAGACTTTAAATAAGAGATTTTAAATATAGTCCAAGACTTTAAGAAAAATTGTGTTTAAAGAACAAAATAAAGAATACTGATAAAGAGATATAAATTATACATAATAAAGAGGAGGACAGAGAAACTTGAAATAGTGAATAGAAAAGTGATACCAAAAAAGAACATCCAAAAGAACAAACCAAAAGCTAGATCTTTTGAAAACAAAACTGACAATCCTTTAGCTATACTGACCAAGAAAAAAGAGAAGCCTTAAAATCAAGGCTGAGGGAGATGCTTTTCTAGTGATTTTCCAGAAATAAAAAAGATTGTGGGCAGTAAAATGAAGTTATATGTAACAAGTTAAATAACCTAGATGAAATGGACAAATTCCTTAAAAAGACACAAACTACAAAACTGACCAAGGAAAAACTGATAGTGTTACCAAATGTGAAACAATACAGATAAGGTTAGCATGGCCCCTGCATAAGGATGACATGGAAATTTGTGCAGTGTCCCTATTTTTCTGTGTCTGTAATGTAGAGCAATAGTAACCAGTTAACAACACTGTATTATGCATTTGAAAGTTGATAAGAAAGTAGATCTTAAAAGTTTGCATCACAAGAAAAAAAATTATAACTTTGTGATAATGGATGTTGATTGTGGTGATCACTTCATAGTATATGCATATATCGAGTCACTATATTCCGGGTGCCTGGGTGGCTCTGTGGGCTCAGGTCATGATCTCAGGGTCCTGGATCGAGCCCTCTGCTCAGCAGGGAACCTGCTTCCCCGTCTTTCTCTCTGCCTGTCTTTCTGCCTGTCTCTCTGCCTACTTGTGATCTTTCTGTCAAATAAATAAATAAAATATTTTTTAAAAATACTATATTGTACACCTAAAATTAATACAATGTTATGTGTCAGTTAAATTTCAATAAAAAAGAAGAAATATATAACCTGAATAGACTTGTAACAAGTAGAGTGATTAAATTAATCAAAAATTTCTCACAAAGAAAATCTCAGCACCAGATCACTTCACTGGTAAAGCTATCATAGAGTTAAAGAATAATTAGCATCAATCCTTCAAAACTCTTCCAAAACATATGAGGAGTGAATACTTCTGAAGTCATTCTATAAAGCCAGAATTTTCCTGAGACCCAACCCAGACAAACACAAGAAAAGAAAACCACAGATCAATATCCCTTATTAAAATATATGTAAAATTCCTAAAATTCCTTAATAAGACGCTAGCAAAATGAATCTGGCAACAAAAAAATGATATATGCTATATGGATATAAATACCTATATGTAACATGGATATTTTATTTCCATAAAAAATTGTAAGTATTATACCACATGACTAAGTAGGATTTATCCCAGGAATGCAAGGGAGATTCAACATGTGAAAATCAATTAATGTATAACATCATTGTAAAAAAAAAAACTTCATACTAAGTGAAAAAAAGCCAGACACAAAGGACCAGTGATTCAATAGCAGCTTTTACTCTGAGACCTATAAGAAAGTTGAGCAATACACCTGGGATGGGCTGTAGTAGTGAGTGAAGAGGCCATAGAGATGTGGAGAGTTATCCAAGTCACTAAGGACATCTCTAAGAAAGAAATGATCTTGCAGTGGTGAATATAAGAATGGAGAACTGCTATACTGAGTCAGATTCTTGTTCCATGAACTCTAATGTCCTTTCTCTGACAGGATCCTTTGTATGGGTGCATGGGTATCTTCCTTAGTATCAACCTCCAAAGAGTGAGTGGTTTCCTCTCTCATCTAAATGCCTGAGCTCTACTACATCTTATACAGGAATTGATCTGAATTGCTTCCAAATAAACACAGAAAAGAACATTTGATATTTTATGTAAATTGTTTTCAATTTTGCATGAGTCTTAAAAACCGAAAGCATACACACATATATATATGTATGCTTTCAGTTTATATATATATATGTGTGTGTGTATATATATATATATATATATATACATACACTGGTATCACTATTTGAAGGAGCATTTGTCAGTGGAGAACAATGCATTCTGAAAATAAACCAGAATGTAGAAAAAAGAATAAAGGGTTTGTCTTTCTCCATTGAACTGTGTTCAAGAGTTCAAGATTCAAGTATTATAGACATTTAGACGAATATAATACTTCTGTTGTAGCCTTTGGGTCAGACAGGCTCCCCACATTATCTCCACCATTCCATAACTACTTCATGATTTCCTAAAGACCAGGATTTTGGAGAACCCTATATGAGGAGAGGACTCTAGTAAGGAAATGGTGAAGTCGGAAATGTGACAGTCAAAGACACATTCCCTTTTACTGTTTGTAGACATACAGGCCTGCGTATTTCCGTAACTTTGTAGAGGTAAGCTCCATAAAGGCAAGTAGTCTTCTCTTTTACTCACTAATGTGTCTCCAGAATCTAACATGTTACATGGTTTATACTTAGTGATTCTAATCCTCACTATTTCTATATGACTTAAGGCTCAGAGACAGTACGGCATAGATAGTCAATGTTGAACAAGCCAATTTGCTTTCTGGTTTGATTCAATAAGAAGCAGTAGAAAATAAAGAAAAAAATTTCAAATAAAATATTTTCAGCAATCATGAAGCAGGGGATTGCTGTTAATTTATATCCTACCTTTTGTAGGATATAATATACCTATTATATTGTTTTCTTCCAAATCATTTATCATTCTTTTTATATCAGAATATATAATTTGACATAGTAAGGTTTTTTAAAAAGATACTACTTCCCAACAGGTCAAATTATGCGTAAAATAAACAAGTGGTTGAGTGCAAGTAGCTTGAATAAGCATCCAAGCTTATTTCTGCTTTTTAAAACAGATGACAATTGAAGAGTACAAATCTGAACTAAAAAACTCAAGGTGGCAATCCCCACTTAACTGTTCTAACCCCCCAAAGCTCTAACTTTTAAAACAATTCCTTTGGTGACAAAACCTTACTTAAACATCTGTGTTATGTAATATATGCACTGTATTACTTTTTACAAAATCTAGAAAATCCTGAATTCCAAAAATAACTGAGGGGCCACGAGATTTGAAGAAAAAGGCTTTGTCTATACATATACAGTAGAGAAATTGGGCAAATCACAATCTCTCTAGCACTTATTTCATGATTTGGAAAGTAAGGGAGTTAGACTAAATGCCCTCTAAAATAACCTGGACGGTAATTAAATTCTAGGAACCTACCTGATCAATTTATACCCTGAAACACACAACTTGAGTTCAATTTTGGATTACGTTCAATTTCTATAAAATTCTGGGCCTTTAGCTGTACCCATAACATGTGATAAGCACACATTAGATATCTCTTCAACCAGGTTAGTTCATTCAGGTTTAGTACCTGCTGTGCCAAACACAGAAGATATGCCTTCCAGAATGGTCTCGTGGACAGTGGGATGAGAGAGGACAAATGCAAGTGTCCAAAATGCAACCTTAAAACAAAACAAAACAAAACAGAAAACATGTATCACACAATACAACCTCTTTTGAAATGAAAAAAAAAAAACATGCTTAATATTCGCCATAAACATTAGAAGAAACCAGGAAAATGTTTAAATTAAACTTAAAAGTATGTTAGTAAGGAGCATTTTTGGAAACAACTAGATTTTTTGAACAAGAGAGTTGTTATAGACTTCTGAGAGGTCAAATCTATACTTCTATTTTGTCACTATAGTTTAACTCTTTTGTTTTTACAGATTAAACTATCTTACTACAAAATGAGGCAGGATTCTTTTTTAGTAATACACATTATAAAATATTATATATGCATACATTAAATATACAGAAACAGCAAATTATGATACTTAAAATGTTAATCCCAATGAAAATATTTTTTAAAATTTAATTTCCATGAAATAGATATGAATGAGCAAATCCTATATTCTGCAAAAAAAAAAAAAATGGTAATTTTCAATAAGCCCAGAAAAATATACCTCAAATCCCATAAATTATGAGTACTCAATATGAAAAATAATGGTCCTTTCCCCAGCTGAATGTTACTGAATCTATCATGCTCGCAAATGCTCTCTAGACCAAAGAAGATTATTTCACATCTTTCCTCATTGCAGTATTACAAGGTTAAAATTATACTGCCATATATCTCAAAAATTAACTTTCCACTAACTCAGGTAGATGTTTTTGCTTCTAATTTTAGACTACATAATAAAGGAAACTGTATAAAATTAATAAAAGAAGTTTGGGTTTCCCTTGCATCTTTTCTGTAAACATGTATTGTAAAAGAAATTTCAGCTAGGACAATCAGTCCTGAAAGACTCAGACAATATTTCACATTTAAAACACTTAAGTCTTTTTGTCTCTTTTGTGGGGCAACTTTAAGTACCTTTACATAATCCCAATACTCCCCTCTGTGGCCAAAAAAGGAAGAGCAACTATCTGAAGGGAAGCGGTGAAGTAAGCCAAATTCAATACTCCTCGTGGTTTCCCGCCCTGGGGCATGAAACCCGAGGGCCCTGTAAACAGGGTACTGTGTACATAGACAAAATGAATGGGAAAGCCAAGGCCACCACCTTGGAGAGGTGAGAGCCTCTTTCTGCGGCATGATTCAGATCACGGAAGACTTACCCTAGATCTCATCCAGTCCATTTTACAGTAGAAGAAACATGCTCAGAGAGCTCACTTCTGTCTCCCCGCTAGGGCCCCTGCTACCATTGTCTACGGATGGAAGTGCTGAATTACTGGATTTAATTAATAACGACTCCATACTCACTTCGTCTTATTTAAAGGGTCAGAATTTGTAATGGGGAAAAAACAGCTTAGTGGATAGCACATAGATTTTCAGTTATACAAAAGAGGTGTTCAGAGTTATACCAAACAGTGCTTAGAGTTTTAGAGTCACGAAAATTGGGTAAAACTTATTTTATAATGAACACAAGGAATTCAACTAAATTATTCATGGCTGTACGAAGGTGCTGTTTATCATTTTTAAATTTGGTAAAAAACTCAATTACATTTAAAAAAAAGAAAAGTCACATAAAAGACAGTAATGAGTAAATAAGAAATTTACATATATTACAGAAACAAACAAGAATAAATGACCTCGGGATCTTTGCGCACGCCCAGTTAAAGACCGCTCCCCAAAGTATCAATTAGTATGTTGCCAAAGGGTCAAGTCCATGGCGATGGCAGCTCAAAAAGGAGAAGGGCGACCTGGCTCACTGAACTTCAGAAGCAGCCACTGCAATGTTTTTGGGATAAGAATAAAGGTGGAAAGGGACAAGGAGGAAAGTCCAGCCCAGTAAGAGAAGATTAAATAGGTATGCTCTTCAGCATCATTTATTGTTCCATTCAAAAGAGATTTAACAAATACTTATAGAGTCTCTATAACAGGTCAGACAGTCTTCTACAATCATGGTAAACACAAACATGTACAAGATATCATTCCTGCCCAAAGAACTTTCACGTCTAGTTGGGGATACGAAATGCAATCAGGAGGAAAAAGAGCTAAGGGTACAGGCAATGGGTGGGACAGACAACACAGACTGTGGGAGTCGAGGGTAAGGTGGGATGGGGTGGGGGGTCATGGTCAGTACTGAAAGGGTTCAGAAAGAGCTTGGGAGAAGCAATAACAATGATAAAATGTCAGTGGTGAGATTCATTTTGGAAAAATGGTCCACAAGATTTATTGGGCAGGGATTTCTTGGAAATTGGAAATGGTTTTCTCATACAAATGGTTTCGCAAATTATGGTCGGTATTTTGGGCCAGTGTACCAAAGTTCACCTCAACCACAATGGAGCCTTCTGGTGATCTGTCCTGTCCCCAGCCTATCTCAAGCCTGAGCTCTGAGTTCCACGCCCCTTGAGGGAGAGCCCAGAATGGGAGAGAAGAGAACCTGACCTGGGCACCAAGAAAGGACAGGCCCCACCACTTATCCCAGTGGCAGGGCTTTTGAGGGTTCTCTAGGCAGTGAGGGGAGATCACTGAAGCCAGACAGCAGTGGCCACTCCCACCCTGGGGCATTTGAGTGGTCCAGTTTTGGAAGACAGGGCAGTTTATTATTAATGCACCACTGAAAGTAATGATTGAAACAACAGCCTTACTTTTCATAAAAGAAAGCTAACATTCAGTGAGCACCTTCTTTCTTCCAGGGACTGTCAGCCACTTTCCATATCTTAAAAATATCATGTTCATGACCATCCAATGAGGTAGATTACATTCACCCTATTTTATAGATGAGAACACTGAGACTCAGAGGGGTTAAACACTTGACTCACTGTAACCCAGCACTGGGATTTGGCTTTTGGCCTGACTCTAAAGCCTTTCGAGGGTATTTGCCTGCACACCAGCTGCCTCTTGGAGGTGCCACTGAGAGCCAGAAAGATGGAACTCTCACTAATCATCAGACACTTTCTTTCTGAAATTCATGATTTAAATCCTTTCAGGCTGGTGCCAGGAACAGATTCCAAAGAACTGACTTCCCCTGAGTCAGATCAATGGGGCTTTGTGTCCCCTTCTTCTGGAGGATCTCTCTAATGAGATCTTGAAAATTAATCCAGTGACAGGAAGGGCTGCTCTGTTCTGCTTAGGGAGATGTTCTGACATTTGCTTTTTAATTTTGCTATAAGCGTAATCAGTATCCAAGAAAACGATGCAAAGAGAAATCAGGGCATATTTTTCTTAAAAAATATCAGAAGTACATAAAGGAGGGGAAAAAGGATTAGATGATTTTTATTTGCCCATGCCAGATGAAGTACGCATGGCAGAGACGGCAGAATTTCTACTTCTGCTCTTTACTCAGTCAGTTTACAACCCATGAAAAGAAACTAGACTAGCAGTACTTAAAAAGCCTTCACTAAGAGGAAGGAGACATAAATGATACCTGAAATATCTCATCCCTATTTGTTAGAAGAAAAAAGAAAATGGACACATTTATCACTAGAGATGGGTTGAATATTCCTGCTCAGTAGAAAACAGGTTACCCTTTAACTTCTCAAATAATATCAGAGCAGTTTAGGCTAATGTGAGATCCTCCCTGACGTGCATCAGACAAGAAGGGGCAGACATATCACATGGCTTTAATCTAGTTCATAACAGCTTTAGAAAGAAACAGTTAAAAACGTTCTGCTTTCTTTAGTATTGTGAGTTCCAATGTCACTAGCTCTATTCATGGGGAAACCTACAGGACCAAGATGCCAAGAAACACAAACAGGAATGCCATGTAGGAGAATGGGTAGAGGGGAAGACAAAGAACTGATATTCACTGGGTACCAGCTGGGTTTATCTCACTGAATTCTCACAACCACCTTAAAGAGAAAGGAGGGTTACCATTTATTAAGTACCCAAGTCCCAGGACCATACCGGTTGTATTATCCCTTTGTTACCCATAAAGAAAAGGCGGCTGAGGTTTTTAAATTATCTCCATGAGATTCTATACCTCTGGCGGGGGTTATCTTGATTCATGCCTAATTCTATCCCACACTATCCATTTACCTACTCTCTCCCCAATAAAATGACAGAGTTAAGACTTACTCATATTTGCAGCGCCAATACTAAGCATGTTGCCTGACAAAGAAAGCTCTTTTTAAAAGCACCTGTTTAAAAGCAGGTGTTGTCACAACTGATCCCAAAGCGCAAGCTTTTCCCTTAGCCTGATACAAGCTTGCCTTGCAAAGGCAGAATTCACTTGCTGTCTCTGCTCTGCCTCCTTTGTGATCTTATTAGATTTCATTAGGCATTCGGTTTTGTTTTTCTAGCTTACAACCAAATCCACTGTAGCCTTTTTCTTTCCCATAATAAAGAAGTGAAAAGACAAAAACAAAAACACACACACACACAAAAAAAAAAAGAAGAAGAAAAGAAAGAATAACGAAAGGAAAAAAGCGAAATTGCAGGAGACAGAAATATAACCCCTATTTTACTAATATACTTACAGGGACAGCATTGGACAGAGAAGCCCAAAGTAATAAGAGCCCATAACTGGGGCTCTCTTCTTCCTTTCTCTCCGTCTCTATGATATCCAGCATAGCCTGCATTAATGTCTGTTTAAAAGAAATATATCTTGTCAAACCACAGCTATGTGACAAAGAATGGTGTTCGTAAACATACACCACGCATTTTTCCTTAATCTCAAATACATTATTTCTGTCTTTCCTAGGTTTGCAGCTTGAAGCATGCTAAAGGGTTTATGTAGTTACTGGTAGCATAGTAATTAGGAGTAGACACTCTAGAGCACAATTGCTTTACTGCATTGGTTCAAACCATGGCTTCATTTTTGTTTTTGATTTTTTTTTCTTAAATACTTTATTTTTATCACAATTTTAAGTTTACAATAAAACTGAGAAGCAAGTACAAAGAATTCCCATATAGTTCTGATCCCTACACAGGCATAGCCTTCCCTACTTATCACTATCATTCAACAAAATGGTACTTTTTTTTTTTTTTTTTTTTAAACCATGGAGCAAGGACCTTGACACATCACAATCACCTAAATCCTATAGTTTACCTTAGGGTTGACTCTTGGCATTGTAAAATCTTTAGGTTTGGACAAATGCATGGTGATATATATTTGCCATTATAATGTCATATAAATTATTTTCACTGCCCTAAAAATTCTCTGTGCTCTGCCGGTGTATCTCTCCTCCCTCCCCAACAATCACTGATCTTTTTCCTTTCTCCACATTTTGCCTTTTGCAGAATGTCATTATAGTTGAAACCATACATTACATAATCTTCTTAGATTGGCCTCTTTCACTTAGTAATACACATTTATGGTTCCTTCATGTCTTATTTCTATTTAGTGCTGAATAATATTCCATTCCCTAGATGTGACACAGTTTATCTATTTACCTATTCAAAGGCATCTTGGTGGCTTCCAAGTTTTACAGTTATGAATAAAACTACTTTAAACACCCAAATGCAGGTTTTTGTGTGGACATAAGTTTTCGAAATCATTTGGGCAAATATTAAGGAGCACAATTGCTAGATTTTATGGCAAGAGTATGCTCTGTTTTGTACGAAACCACCAAAGTGTCTTCCAAAGTGGTTCGTACCATTTTGCATTCCCATCAACAATGAAGGAGAGTTCCTGTTGCTCCATGTCCTTGCCAGTATTTGGTGTTGCCAGTGTTTCTGATTCTGGCCAGAATGAGAGTAGTGGTGTCTCAGTGTTGTCTTCATTTGGATTTCCCCCAAGACACATGATGTGTAGTATCTTTTCATATGCTTCCATCTTCTCTCATGGATTATGTTTTTGATGTTTTATCTAAATAGGCATCACCATACCTAAGGTCAACTAGGTTTTTTCCTACATTATCTTCTAGTAGTTTATAATTTTGCATTTTACACTTATATCTATGATTCATTTGAGAGAATTTTTGTGAATTGTATTAAAGTCTCTATCTAGACTGTTCTTTTTAAATTTTTTTTCCTTTTGCCTGTGGATGTCCAGTTGTTCCCGCACCTTTTGTTGAAGAGTCTATCTTTGTTTCACTATATTGCCTCTGGTTCATTGTCAAATGTGTTGATTATATTTAAAAGGATCTATTTCTGGGCTCTCTATTCTGCTCCACTGATCTACTTGTCTATTCTTTCACCAATACCGCACTAGAACATTAATTACAGTAAATCTTGAAGTTGGGTAGTAGTGCTCTTTTGAAGAACTCTGTTCTTCTCCTTGAATGTTGTGTTGGCGATTCTGGGTCTTTTGCCTCTCCATATAAACTTTAGAATTAGTTTTTGATATCCATAAGATAAGTCACTGGGATTTTGATTGAGACTGCTTTGAATGTATTGGTCAAGTTGGGAAGAACTGACATCTTGAGAATATTGAATCCTCCTATCCATGAACATAAAATAATCTACTTACTTAGTTCTTTGGTTTTGTTCATCAGCGTTTTATAGCTTTCCTCATATAGAGCTTACATATCTTTAGTCAAGTTTATACCTAAAAATTTCATTTTGGGGGATACTGATGTTAATGGCATTGTGTTTCTAATTTCATACTTCACTCATTCATGATTGGTACATGGGAAGGCAGTTACCTTTTGGATATTAACTTGTATTTTGCAACTTTGCTATTATTGTTTGTTAGCTTCAGTAGTTTTTTTGTCTATTCTCTCAGATTTTCTATAAATATGATCATGACATCTGTGAACAAAGGCAGTTTTATACCTGCTTTCCCAATCTATGTAACTTTTATATCCTTTTTTGGTTTACTGCATAGGACTTCCAGTACTATGTTGAAAAGAAGTGGTAAAGAGGACATACTCACTGTGTGTGAAATTCTGATGCCAATTTCTAATGTGTGTGTATATGTGGAGGGGGAATTCCAAACAGCAATAAAAACACTCAGGACACTATCTAGTTGAACTCAGTTCAACTCAATTCTGACACCATCTACCCAGAAATAACATGGGGTTCTACAGGTTAAGGATTTAGTCCTCCAAGACTATATCTTTTCCCCACCTCCCACCTGTCCTTCAGGTGCCAGTCACAGCCCAGGCTATTACCTGTACTTTGGGCCAACTGGCTACAGATTGGAGGTTCTAACAACCTCATCCTTGGAATTCAGATGCCAGCTTCAAGTCTAGTTTGTTATCCGTACTTCTGACTGATTGCTCGTATAAATCAGAGGTTCCCACAACCCTTCCTCACATTCAATTAATTTGCTTATGGGGTTCACGCAAGTCAGAGAAACATTTTATTTACTGGATTATTATTATAGAAGGATATGATAAAGGATACAGACAGACATGCAGATAACCATACATATTGATTTCATTTATATATAAGCACACATAAGTGTGTGTGTGTGTGTGTGTGTATCTGAATATATTGTTGCTATTATAATTTTAACAAATTGTTACCTGTTAGATCAATTAAGATTAAGGAAAATAAATTTCTATTTCACCTTTACTTATTTTTTCTTTGATGCTCTTCCCTTCTTTATATAGATCTAAGTTTCTGACCTATATTATTTTTCTTCTCTCTGAAGAACTTCCTTTAATACTTCTTGTAACTCTCTCATTTTTGCTAGTCTGAAAAAGCCTTTATTTCAACTTTACTTCTAAAGGATAATTTCATAGGGTGCAGAATTCCAGATTGATGGTTTTTCTTTTCTCACTCTACTCTTTTAATACTTCACTCTACTCTATTTTTGTTTTGCATAGTTTCTAAGGAGAAGTCAGAAAAAATTCTTATCTTTGTTCCTCTATAGATATGGTGTTCTCCCTTCTGGCTTCTTTAGGACTTTTTATCTTTGTTTTTTTAATAATTTAAAAATGATAATGTTTTTGGTGTTTACATGCTTGTTGTTCTCTGAACTTCCTGGATCTGTGGTTTGGTGTCTGACATCAATTGTGGGAGAATTCTGTCGTTATTGTGTCAAATTCTTCTTCTGCTCCTTTCCCCCTTTCTTCTCCTTCTAGTATTCCCACTGTATGGATGCTATCCCTTTTACAGTTGTCCCATACTTCCATAGTCTTTGGGTATTCTGTTCTACTTTTTTTTTTTAGTCTTTGCTCTCTTTGTTTTTCAGTTCTGGGACATTCAACGGCTATATCCTCTAGAGATTCTTCCCTCAGCTCTGCCAGTCTACAAATAAGCCCCTCAAAGGCATCCTTCATTTATGTTATAGTGTTTATTGTATCTAGTATTTAACCATTCTTAGGATTTCCATTTCTCTGCTTATATTATCTATCTGTTCTGCCATGCTGTCTACTTTATGTATTAAAACCCTAGACATATTAAGCATAGCTATTTTAAAGTCCCAGTCTGATAATTTTAGTATTGGTCTCTTCAGCCTTATGCTTGTTGTGAGGATAGAGTGGCAACTTCCAAGATCCTTATATGTGGAACCAGAATCTGGCTTCGTTATTCAAGACCCAGATAACCTTGGACAAGTCACTTTAAGCTCTGTGTCTCGATTTCATCATCGAGAAAATGGTCATAACATGGTATCTACCTCATAGAATTGTTGTGAGAATTAAACCAGTTACTACCTATAAAGCGCTTGAAACAAAACTTAGTCCATATTATCATTTTGACAATTTTTAAAATAAACCTCTGCTTTTAGGAAAATGCAAGCAACACAGAAACACAGGTATCTGGAGCATTCCAGAGCAAACCCTACCCCCATTTGCCATGAAGATTCTCAGCCTGTACACCATGGAGAAAGCACTGCCAAGCCAGGAGATAGTATAAATACTACAATATGCAGAGAAGGGATATCTGACTGGAATGGTGCCAACTAAGATCAGGGCCCCATCCAAGTCCACCTATGGTGGCTCTCAGGTCATTACACAAATTCCATGGAAGCTTTATCTTCACTGAGAGGTTTCCCAGTCACACCTTTGTTAATGGTCATTCTCCATCGTGGGGAAGAGATTCAGATACATTTGCATTAAGTTACTCATGTACTTTGAATCTTAAATAACTCAAATTCAGGTGATAAAAATAATGGCAGCTAATGCCTAGTTATTGCTTGCTAAGGCGAGTACGGCTTTAAGGGCTTTGCAAAAGTTCAACCATTCAATCCTCAGTACAATTTGAAGAAGTAGATACTGTTATCTTCACCGTTTTACATTTGAGGAAACTGAAGCCACTTAAGTTAGGGAACTCGGCCAGGACAAATAGCTTGTCAGTGGTTGAGCTGGGATTCAAATGCTGGGAGCTTGGCCCCTGCTCCAGAGCCCACACTCTTAGCTATTGTGATATACTGCCCCATGAGAGATACAGCCCACAACTCCCATGGATTAGGGATTAAGAGAACTGTATTGTACCACTACTTAGTAGTTTTGCTTCAGATCTTGGGATACATGAAATAACTGTTAAATCACAATCAAAGAAAATACACAATGAGAGACTAGTACTATGACTTACAAAGGCATGTAATGTTTCCAAAGTGATTAACCACTCTAATCCTCTGTTTTCTGGTTTTAATAACCCCCAGTTTTCTGGGTATTAGAGCTACTATGAAAAAATGAGTCATGAATTTGTGAAATGTGTAACGCTATGCCTAGCACAGAGTAAGCTCCCCATAAACATTAGTGATGTCTTACTGTTTTTGTAACAATGGGTTAGCAAAATTGCAAATTATTTAAGTATAAATTTTATTCAGTGCTAGTTTCTATCATACAGCATAAATTAAAATAACACAAAGTTTATAGCTCATGGAAAATCCTATACATGGATTTCATTCTTTGGATGCTATCCTGTAGGTGAAATCTTAATTTTAAATGAAAATACTAGTTTAATACATATCTAGAATAACAAGGGAGAAATCACCACACTTGAAGTTTATAATGTAAGAGGATGTGTGTGTAATATTTCCAAAAAACAAAAACTTCTTCCAGTCTTCTGCTTAACTAGGCCATTGAAATCTACTTATACAGAAGACAACAGAATCTTTTATTTTCTTCTTAGACCACATTAAAAAAAAAATTGGGTACAGAACGCAAGCTCAGTGTGAACACTGCTGGAAAAAAAAACAGAAATTATACACACAAAAAATGAAAACTGCCCCTGAATGTTCAAACTGAGTTCTGCCCCCAAGTCTTAAACATTGGATTAGCTTTAGCAAAATGCAAAATCTGTCTTTATTCAAACAGAGAGTTAGAGTACCCATGATTAAAAATGCCTCATTTCTTCAGACTAGGAACAAGAAATGCTGCTCTAGAAGTAATGTCAGTGGAGAGTTTTATCTGGGGCATTCAAAACCCTGTTTGCCAGGCCCACAGAGCACAGATTCATCTGGGTGCATCTTTTGTATACATGCCTCTTTAGCCCTAAATCCTGGAAAATGATGCAAACAAAATGTGTTGGGTCTGTTTGTAAAGTAGAATCCTTAGCTAAAACACTGTTTATCAGTGTGGGGCATTCCAAAATAGCTTTCTATTCCCTTTATTCTGGTGGGAGATAACTAAACATTCATACATCGCTTTTTTTTCTGAAGTGATCTTCCCTTCCAGTGTTAAGCAGAGTTGCTTGTGGTAACATTTGCTGTAATAATGAAAGGCAAGCAAGTAAAAACACTTGGTATCATCTATAAGAAAGAAAAGGTCTGATTTTGGGGGGCACCTGGGTGGCTCACTAGGTTAAATGTCTGCCTTTGGCTTAGGTAATGATCTCCTGGTCCTGGGATTGGGCCCCATATCAGGCCCCCTGTTCAGTGGGGAGTCTGCTTCTCCCTCTCCCTCTGCTCCTCCCTCCTGCTTGTATGCACGTGCATGCTCTCTCCCTCTCAAATTAATAAGTAAAAATCTTCAAAAAAAATAAAATAAAAGGTCTAATTTTTAATGACAAACACATGGTCTGAACTCTTATATAGTCCTCACTACTCTCCAACTTCTTCACAAATATTAATTCACTTAATCCCCACATTCTATGAGCTAGGTGTAGAAACCGAGCCAAGAGACAAGATGCTATGGCCAAGGTCATGAGACTGGTGACTGAATTGGAGCCCATTTCAGACCAAGTGAATCCCAGTCTCTGAAGGGGAGGGTGGGTCTGGAGAATCAGGTCGTTTCCAAAAGCTCCCCGAGATTCTGATGAGCAGGCAGGGTTGAGAACTTGTCATTACACAAGCATCAGAAACACCTGGAAGGGCTATGAAACCACAGACTGGGGGGCTCCATCCCAGAGGCTCTGATCGAGTCCTCCCCAGACGATGTTGGTACTGTTGGTCTAGGAACCACACCTGAAGGACCACAAATCTAGGACACTTGGGACAGTGGCTTCCAGTGCATTGCTTTTCAAATTATACCTCACTACCTCCTTTTATTTGAAGAGAGAAATAATTAGTGATAATGGCATCGAGAACAAAGTCTACTTTGTAGAACTCTGTTATCCTTATCTAATGTGCCATAACTCCCAACTATTGCTGTTGACCTAACTATGTAATATATAAATCAATAAAAACCTCAGCACCTTGTTATATGCTGTTGTCTGTAGCCTTAGTTTTTTCTTATGTAGAAGACTATTAATACCTACCTCATTGTTACAAGGTTTTTTAATAGAATAATGTATGTAAAAATCCAACACAGTACTTGACACAAAATGTTACCTAAATAATCTCATGATTTTTGGCAAAAAAAAATTATTTTAAAAATCATAGCTTATTACTGTTTTCCTCCCATATATTTTGGCAAAAACTCATTTACTTTAGCAAAAAACTACTTACCATGGAATTATTTTTTACAGATTTGTATGTTTTCATATCTGGAATGGTTTTCTCAAAAAGTGCTAAAAGCCACTTTTTGGATTTTGACCAGTTTCTAGGCAAGGAAAAAAATGTGCATAAATTAATTTGAAAGCACATCAGGAGTAATAGGTCACAGCATTAAAGGGGGTATATCTATGGAATTATAATTACTTCTCCAAATTTCTTCTTTAAGTTTCCTAGAATTTCATGCGAGGTCTACCTTCAGACTTACTAGATCACAAAGAAAATGTAGTGGGCGAGGCAGCCACATCTTAGTAGGGTTTTTGCAAACAAATGTTTGAATCCCTATAGGATTGGCATTGAATAAAAAACAAAAACAAGCAAACAAAAACAGAGCCCATGACCTGATTATTCTACTTTTACTCTGGCTGTTAGCAGTGGCTGGAGGATGAGAAACTAGCACAAGGACCCACGGCTGGCTTAAGCTAGGTAAAGCCAACTGGCTACAATCTTTTTCATACTTTCTGACCAGTCACCACTATAAACCAACTGCCAAGACATTTAAAAACTCATGTGTTACTTTGCATTCCAACCACTTTGAGCCAACTGTGAAAAATACATTTGCCCATACCTCCTTGTGCCTCAGGGAGAATAAGGTCAACCATGTCAGACTCTAAGACTGGTCATGCCTGATGATTTAGCAGGGTTCCAAAGTACAGCAATGAATGTGATCATAATAACAGTAAACAGGATAAAAGGCCTCAAAACAAACTCTTTGTTTCATTCTCGTATCTTTTCTCTGGCTCTCTGTCTCTCCCTGTATCATTTTTGCTCCTCAAAATAAGGAAAAAAAAAAAAAAAGGAAATAATGCATCTCTCTTCTTCAGTTCCTCCATCAAGTCACCCACACACCAAAAACAAATTTGTCTTAAAAGGTAGCTCCTGTCTCTTCCTCGTAGATGTTGCTCTCTGTACTGAGAACAGGGAAATTGCTGGGAGGAGCTTGGTCAGTGAATTAATTGTAGGGAAGCGCTCCCTACCTTAGGAGACATTCTGGCATCTGGGACCCGTACTCAAAACCTTCATCATAAGCTTGAAAATGCTGATAGAACTCCCTGATTTTTCTCTCGTCTGTGGGAAACAAGCCTTTTTTAAAGAGTATATTCATTGTGACTGGATAAAGGAGATGCCTACAAAGAAAATCACATAGAAAGTCAGACCCAATGACCAAAGAAGAAAGGCGAAAGAAACAAAAAAAGGACATTATTTAATAGCTATATATTAGGGGTAGATAATAATATGCAACAGATTCTTTTGGGAAAGAATCAGTTTCAAAAGGTTTTAATATTTGTTTACTGTGGTCAAGATAACTTAGGGGTAACTGAAATTTTGGTTCATTTATCTGAAGGTTTTAAAAGGTTTTCTAAGCAATCATTGTTAGATCCTGATAAATGTGAGATCATGTGTAGAAATAAATTGATTCAATATAATTTCAACAAGTTCTTATTTAGTAAATAATAGCAATAACTAAGATATAGTCCATGACTTTAGACAGCAGCAAAAGAGAGCCAAAAAATCAGGGCAACACTAGTTACCAAATTTCCCAAGCTCTCATAGGATCCTACAGATTTAAACTACTACCCATTGGAGTATAATACCTATCACCATAAGTGAATAAAAATAATTACTCTGGCATAATAAAGAAATGAATATCAAAGATTGTTAATACGACCTAGATTAGTAACACTAAGTACTGTTTGTTTCAGTTTTATTTGCCATCTCTTCCTCACTAGAAATTTTTCAGGATCTCCTTCCCCCCAAAGTTTCAAGATATCCAAGAATTTGCTTGGTTTTGCTGTAGATACTGGGCATGCTAAAAGTTTAGTCAGTTGCTTGCCTTTTTTGTTGTTGTTGTTTTCTTCTCTCTCTCTTTCTGGACCTCTAACAAAATATTAACTGTTATTCTTTTTTATTGAGTCTGAACTACTGAATCCTGCCTTCAGCATCCCAGTATCCCACTGAGATGGAAAGTGCTTAATAGGTAACTTCAATTGAACAAATCTCCTTACACACATGAAGAATTTTTCTCACAGCTCCTAGGCCCAGCCCTTACTTTTGCCAGAAAGCTTCAGAACATGGCTGAGGTCACTTGATTCCCTCCAGTGCCCTTCCCTGTCTCACCTGTCTCTCAGCATTCCCTCTAGGTAGGTATGTTCTCATGGCATGGAATGGCTGAGGAGAAATTACTGTACATGTATTAAAATGATCATATTGGCTCACCTTAAAATCGGAGTGCTAATGAAAAATTGTCCATTAATTAAGATGTAAAAGATTAATAAAATCTCTTAAATTACCAGTTAGATCGACTTCATTAATCAACCAGATAATTTTTAAAGTTCAATGTGCAGGATTCCAAGTTTTTTATTCCAAAAAACCCCCCAAACCAAAAAAACCAACAAGCTCGAACACTACTAATGCATGTACTTTACCTTACTAAGTTGTTCAGCTCCATTGTCCCATGAGTGCCCAAGTTCTCCAGTTGCTCATGTAATTCTTCAGTCAGTTGTCCGGTGAGTTGATACAGGTTGAAAGTCCCTAGTTTCCCTTTCATCATGATATAAAGTTTTTCATGCAGTGTTAAAAAAGTATTCTTTGGAATTGATGCTAAAAACAGAGAAAACTATTTTTAACAGAAGCAACAATTCCTTGAAGCAAACAGTCAATGTACCTCTACTATTACTTGGCCACAGGGACTGCAGCCAAAGCCTTCCCAGTACATAAAATTACCTCCTGCAAGTAAAAGGAGGTGAAGATTCAACCTATCCCATGAAACTGTAAGAGTCTGTAGGGAAATTCATGTTTGGGGGTGATCTACAAATGGGTGACTAGGAGGGCCTCTGGGAAACACAAATCTGGTGATTTTTATTTGCACGTTAAAAAGCTTTCATTGGCTTTCTACATTTAACAAAGTTTACAAAAGGCCTTCTACCATCTTTCTAGTTTTCCAGTAACATCTCCAGGCCCTTCTCCCCCCAGATTTGTATGCCAGGTACAGTGTGGTATTTCCATTATTTATATTCATATTTCCCAGCATTTTTATTAGATGTTCTAGCTGCACAAAACACTCTCTCCTTGATCAGCCTCACCCCAACCCCACACACCCACAGCTACAAGCCACACGTTTCTCCTGCCAACTTCTATTTCTCCTTCAAGTGTCTATACTTCCTTACCCCATGAGTAGCTTTGGCTCCACTACTTCCTTTGTATTAGTGTTCATGTTTCTTCCATGATACACACCTCCTGCTTGAGTTCGTCTAGCAAGAGTATGAGTTTTTAAACTCATTTTTCTTTTATATTTTTCTTTAATCCCGTTTTATTGTCTGTAACGTAGCTTTTTCAAAAAATAGTTTTTAGTTTTCTATTTCATCAGCCTATTATGTATTTTATTATTAATTAAAAATAATGTTTCAATTTCCTGAGCATAGATCTTCTCTGTACTAGAGGAATAGGAAGCTGGCTCAAGAGCACATCTTAACATATTTTGTCTATTAAATAGAAATATTTAAACATCAAAGTCCCTAGAGGTGGCACATGTGAAAAAACTTGATCACTTCCATGCACACCTGATTGGTGAGTAAGTTGGTATGTTTTTCTGGAGGGATATGTGAACTTACAGATTCAGAGCCTTCAAACTTCAAAATATTTATTTTCTTTGATCTGGAATTCCATAGTTTAAGTACCGAGAAGCACTCAATAGTCAAAGAATTTAACCAACATGTTGTGATCTTCATGCGGGCAAGAAGAAACAACCATCATGTTCTTGGTCACTGGCAGCTTCTAAATTTTTTGTTTTTGTTTTTGTTTAATGGCAAGAGATGCATGAGAGGCTACATGAAGAGGAACCTAAGAAAGAAGCCAAAAAGGAAACCAAGAGAAAGAAGCTCATAGACAACAGAAGCAAGCACAGACATTACGGAAGCAGAGAAAAGAATGAGGCACCAACACGAAACAGCTCCCCCTTCCTGGGAGGATGAGTGGCCTCAGCACCTCATATCTGCAGCCTGGGAAGAAATCAAGTGGGCAGTCACACCGGAAGCATCCTGAGAAGTACAATCCAGAAGTCTCTGAGGAGGGAGAGCAAAAGGCCACGGATTACACGAGGCCAAGCCCCACTTACCTTAATAGCCCTAGGAATGTGTCAGGAAATGCCACAGTAAAGGTTGCATTAAGCAGTAGAATTCTACTTTCAGTGAGCAGAGTAGCAACATATGATCAAGCCAAGAGATATAGCCTGTGGAACATTGTCTACACAGCAGTAAAACAGAGTGAAGGACATCCTGGGAGCTGTAACAGGATACAGATTCCAAATATTTTCCAAAGTAAACAACAGTGGGGTAACCTCATCTCTTACCCACATCTAATTAAGACTTGTGTGAGGCTGCCAATAATTTTTCAATGACCAAACTCATCAGATATTCTTTCTACCTTCTGTCCTGATTTTAAAGTATAAAATAAGGAAGGGGCCATCAACATTCTTGATAGAGGAGTGAGGATATAATTGTTAACAAAGCTACTCTTGGACTCCAAAGTTGTATTTCAAACAAACTATCTGAAAATATTCTTTACCTGTGCGATAGACGGGATTTTGCACTGCTAGCTCAAAATTTACTTCTTTGGATTTTAGAAACACATTAATTCCCTCTTCTTCAGTAACAAAGGTCATTCGGGTGCCCATAATGAAGACTGTAAATACTGGTCCATACTGAAAGATAGCACAAATACAGATATTAATACGGATTTCTAATAAGTTACTGCATCCTAGGTTATGCAAGAACCCTAATGCTGAAATTATAGCCAAGATAAAAATTATTATGATTATATATGTAATTAATTATAAATTTTGCTAGATTAAGACAAATCTAAATTATACAAATCATAATTTATTCTATTCTAATACTTAACCTTCATTTTGATCATTGTTTGAAATTTCTTTTCTTATTGTATGACATAATAATTAGAAATAATTACTAAGGGGTGCCTGGGTGGTTCAGTGGGTTAAACCTCTGCCTTCTGCTCAGTTCATGATCTCAGGGTCCTGGGATCAAGCCCTGCATTGGGCTCTCTGATCAGCAGGGAGCCTCCTTCCCCCCCTCTCTCTGCCTGCCGCTCTGCCTACTTGTGATCTCTGTCAAATAAATAAATAAAATCTTTTTAAAAAACAAAAGAGTCACTTGAAATTATGTCAAACAGTGATATTTAAACATTGTTTTCCAGATATCAGTACGCTTACGAGTAACCTCTAGCTCAGTTTTGTCCAAGAAAAAGATTCAAAACAGCTGACTTAAATCTGTGGTGACTCAAAGATGTCCTACAATCCTGAATAGTTTTCTAATGTGCTCACTTTCCAAAATTACTATTTCCCCTGGATACCTGCCCAACCCTTTCCACTCTGAGGTACCGTTCCTGCTTTGTAACTTACTAGGAAACTCGAGGCAATCAAGTAAGAGCACTCACAACTTTTCACCACCAAATCTTGCAAAGATACACATTTGTACCCATTCTCTATGCCTCCCCTCAGGTTAGTAGGAAGGGGAGGTCCTGCCCCTGTAAAATGCAAGTGCTCCTTCACTTAAGTTATGGATTCTACACTCTTACCTTCTCTTCATTCTACGTCAATGCCTCCTGTCATCCACATCTTCAGTTCTGCCCTCTATCAGATCACTAGCAGCCTACAAACCTATACTAGCCCTGAGTTTGATTTCAGGAAGTCCATGATTTTGTTGGGAGGCTTCACTACTGGGCGGAGACCGCCCTCCCAGGGCTAGCCAATTCTTGGAGAGAGCAGAGGGCTCAACCTGCCAGAAACATACCTTTCACATGCAAACCAACCAATCCTGAGTCTCTGCCCATCTACTTCCTTATCTAATGCTCACACACCAATATTTTCCTTGCCTGAGATCATCCCAAGGCCAAGTAGCAGGCAACCAGAAACCACCCATATAGCCCAAAGCTGACCAGAATTATTCAAAGTAGCCAGTCCTAAATTGTTTTCCCTGCCCTGCTTTGCCTTTCCTGAGGAAGCCCCAATAAAGGCTCAGCCACAGACTTTTCTCTGGTGTTATCTTGGGCCTCCTGATGGATACCAGTGCTTTTCCCTGTGGTCCTGCATGGCCTACAGCAGCCCCCCTTTTGGGCACCCCTCAGACCTGTGGGTATAATAAACATCTTCCTTCCAAACCCTCCTTCTCATTTCCTCCTGTGGCGGCACTGACTTTATAATACCACAGTACATACCACATGTACATTCTTGCAGCAATCAGCCATACTTTCATACCCCATTATAGTTACTATAGTTACTATAAGTATTTCAAAATATTATGCTTGTCACTACCCCAATATTGCAATCATTTCTAGGCAACCCTGAAATGGCATGTGATCATACCTACAACACACTGTTGGGTGCTATCAGGCAACTGTGGGCATGAAAAACATGAAGCCACCAAACAGTGAAGTCTCATTTTCTTACACTGATAATCCAGTGTTTTTTGTTTTTTGTTTTTTGGGGTTTTTTTTGAGAGTTATTTTGAGAGTTCTGTTTATTTATTTATTTGAGAGTTCTGTTTATTAATTTATTTATTTGAGACAGAGAATGAGAGAGAAAGAGAGCATGAGAGAGGGGAGGGTCAGAGGGAGAAGCAGACCCCCTGCTGAGCAGGAACCCCCCCCCCCCACGTGGGACTCTATCCTGGGACTTCTGGGTCATGACCTGGCTTAACCAACTGAGTCACCCAGGTGCCCTGACTTTCCAGTATTCCTTATCTACAATTACTTGTTAATCAATATTTAGAAGAATATGAATAATTTCCATTGTTTTGTACAAATGAGAATTCTTAACTTCCCATTAGGAAAGTGGCCCACGTAACACTTATAGGTACCCAGGCCACAGTGTAGAACAGCCAAGTTCAAACACATTGAAGAATTGACCTAATTACTGCTGCATGGTATTTAAAATAACTTACTGCAAAACTGCACTGTACAAATGATCATGTCTGATGTTATAAATTCTGTGGCAGTGGGGGTGTTTGTGTTTCTGTCTTATTTGCTTTGCTTTTGTTCTACTTCTTTGTGCAATGTCTGGATGTTATGAAGCAAAGGCCAGAGCACACAGTATGTTGTGGTCGTGGTGCCTGTGTGTTTGTTCATGTACATTTTATTCTAAGATAATGATAGAGTAACATGCAGTTATAAGAAATAATACAGAACAAACCCATGTACACATTACTCTGTTTTCCCTAGTGTTAACAGGCTGCAAAACTATTAAATGGTATCACAACCAGGCCACTGATAGTGCGCAAGTTAAGGTATAGAAAATATCCATCACCATGAAGATGCCTCAAGTTACCTTTTTATAGTCACACCCATTTTCCTCTCACCCCCACCTCTTCCATTATCCTTGACAACTACTAACCCGTTCTCCAGTTCTACAACGCTGAATTTCAGGAATGGTATACAAATAGAATCAAATCGTGTACAAATAGAAGAGGAAAAGATGAATAGTTTGGAAAGTGGAAACTTCGCGGGTTGGCTTTTTTTCACTTGGCATAAACCTCTGAGATCAACCCCGGTTGTGGTGTGCATCAGTAATTCATTCCTTTACATTTCTGAGTAGTATTCCACAGTATGGATGCACTACAGCGTGTTTAAGCATGGTTGAAGGATCTTTGTGTTCTTTTCAGGTTGGGACCATTACAGATAAATTTGCTACAAACACTAATGCACAGGTTTTTGTGTGAATGCATGTTTTCATTTCTGGAGACTAAATGCCCAGAAGTGAAATTGCTGGGTCAGATGGCAGCTATATATTTTCTTGTTTAAAGAACTGCCCAAGCAATGGCCACAGTCGCCAAACTGTGGAAAGAACCAAGATGCCCTTCAACGGATAAATGGATAAGGAAGATGTGGTCCATATACACTATGGAGTATTATGCCTCCATCAGAAAGGATGAATACCCAACTTTTATAGCAACATGGACGGAACTGGAAGAGATTATGCTGAGTGAAATAAGTCAAGCAGAGAGAGTCAATTATCACATGGTTTCACTTATTTGTGGAGCATAAAAAATAGCATGGAGGACAAGGGGAGATGGAGAGGAGAAGGGAGTTGAGGGAAATTGGAAGGAGAGGTGAACCATGAGAGACTATGGACTCTGAAAAACAATCTGAGGGTTTTGAAGGGGCGGGGGGTGGAAGGTTGGGGGAACCAGGTGATGGGTATTAGAGAGGGCACGGATTGCATGGAGCCCTGGGTGTGGTGCAAAAACAACGGATACTGTTATGCTGAAAATAAATAAAAATAAAAATAAAATAAAGAACTGCCCAAATGCTTTCCAGAGTAGCTGTACTATTTCCGCCAGTGATCCTGATTCTTTCTATTCATACTAGCATCTGAGTGCTGTCACTTTTTTTTTATTGGGCCATTCTGATAGGTGTGTAGTCGTATCTCATTGTGGTATTCATTTGCATATCCTCAACTGGCTCATGAAGTTGAACACTTTTCCATGTGTTTATTTGCCAGCTTTATGCTCTCTTCAGCAACTTGTTCATGTCATTTGCCATTTCTTTAGTTAACTTGAGGTTTTTTACATGTTGAGTGTGGAGAGTTCTTTATATATTCTAGATAGCAGTCTCTTGTTGAATATGTGGCTTGCAGATATTTTCTCTCCATCTATAGCTTGTCTTCCCAGTCTCCTAACAGGTTCTTTAGTTCACAGAGCAAAAGCTTGTAATTTTCATGAGGTCCAATTTGTCAGGATTGTTTTTGTGGATTTTTGGTGTCCAGTCTAAGAACTATTCTTCAGCCCCAGATTAAGAAGATATTCTCCTTATTTTTTTTAAAGTTTTATAGTGTTACATTTAACATAAAAGTCAATGATCTGTTTTGAGTTAATTTTTATATATGATGCAAGACTTAGGTCAAAGTTCATTTTGTTTTTGTTTTGTTTTGGCTTATTGGTGTCTAACTGGTTCACTGCCATTTGTTGAAAAGGTTATCTTTATTTCAATAAATTACTTTTGCACATTTGTCTAAAATCAATTGGACATTTAGTGTGTGTATTTCTGGGTTCTCAACTCTTTTTCATTGATCCCTGTATCTATCCCTCCACTTGCATAATCTTGATTACTGTAGCTATATAATGAATCTTGAAATTGAGTACAATGACTCTTCCCATTTTATTCTTTTAAGACTTGTTTTAGCTATTCTAGTTCGTTTGCCTTTACATGTACATTATTGAATAATCTTGTCTATATCTACCCTTTACCAGAAATTTGATAGAATTTGCATTAAACTTGCGTATCAATTTAGGGAGAATTGACATCTTTACTATGTTGAGTTTTCCAATCCATGAACATGGTATGTTTCTTCATTAAGTTTTTCTTTTTATCAAGGTTTTCTAGTTTTCATCATGAAGTTCTATACACATTCTATTAGATTTTTACCTAAATATTTCTTTCTCTTTTTGAGTGACTATAAATGGTATTATATTTTTAACTACTACTTGCATATGCTCATTGTTAGTATGTTGCAATATAATTGTTTTTTTCCGTTGAGTTTATATTCTGTGACCTTGCTGAATTTACTGATTAACTTCAGGAGATTTGTTGTAGATTCCTTGAGATTTTCTAAGTAAATAATCACATCATCTGCAAATAGAGAAAGTATTATTTGTTCATTTCCATATGATCTTTTTTCTTGCTTAATTG